GACTGAAAGTTAGACACTATCTGTGCACTACTCCTCATGACTGGGATCCAGATGTGAATTAAATGCAGCTTCTGAGGTTCACTGGTTCATAATTTAGAAGCTGGAAGGGAGATGGGACCATTATATCTGCTGCTGTGGTGACTGATTGGTGGGCAGCAGCAGACACAGCTTCATGTGAAGAAGCAGGTGTTTCTGTCCCTCTGTGCGGCCTTGAGACCAGACTTCTAGGGGTAACTTCCTCACTTCTGTTCCTGAAGCTATTCATGGTTTTACAAGCACCTAATTCTTTGTGTTCAAGACGTATCTGCACAAATGTTCCTGGCAGTGTTACGTGTAATAGCCCCAAATTGGAAACAACTCAAATGTCCATGAAGGGTGAATGGATACCCACATTTGGTGCATTCCTACACTGGAATAGAGCTGAGGGATAAATTTTTAAAAACTGTGTCAAAATAATCATGTTGAGTCAAAAAGCCAACCTCTGCCCAAAATTACATATTGTATCATTCAAATTTTGAAAATTCTAGAAAATACAAACTAATCTATAATTATAGAAAACAGATGAGAGTTTTCCTACCCTGGGGGAGGAGGTAGGAGAGGGGCAGAATGAAGAGATTACCAGACAGCCTGAGGAGACTTTAAGAGGAAGGGACATGCTCATTATCCTCGTTGTAACAACTTTTCTGGTTGCATGCCTCTGGCAAAACTTAATACACTGTATACTTTCAATATGTTAAGTTCATTGTATGTCAATGATAATAATAAATACAGGGTCCAGCAGAAGTAAGGACTGCTTGAGTGTGGTCGGTAGGGTAAGAATATGGATATAATAATTTATAACTTTAATTTGAATATTTCACCTAAAATGTCATATGCTGTGCTTGAGTGTGATATTATGTTATAGAATTACATGTTTATGATTTTTAATAAAAGATGTTATAATAAAAAGGGGCACTATTTGTGCCAGTTTATTTTTAAAATTATGTATACACATGAAATATTGCTTAAAGTATAAATTATATAGAAAATAGAAAACTCACACTGGCTGGTGTGGCTCAGTTGGTTGGAGCATCATCTTGTAAACCAAATGGTTTGATTCCCAGTCAGGGCACAGGCCCAGGTTGTACATTCAGTCTCTAGTCGAGGTGCATACAAGAGGCAGCCAATCAATGTTTCCCTTTCACAAGGATGCTTCTCTCCCTCTATCTCCCCCCTTTCCCCTCTCTCTAAAGTCAATAAACATGTTCTTGGATGAGGATTTAAAAAACAGTATAGAAAACCCAAAAAAATACCTAACTGTAACCTCTATTACCTGCACATTTTTCTATTTGTCCACCAGGGGGCAGCAGAGCTATTCTGCAACTGGAAGCCTCCCCCGGGGAGCTGCAGACCCCTCCTCAGCAGCACCCACAGCCCAGCAGGGTCCAACCTCACTACCATCACTTGGTCCACAATCCTCTTCACTCTCCAAGCTGCGCACACCAGACTCTGTCAGCTCCTCCATCCAGCCAGGCGTCTGCCCACCAAAGGCTGGCCCTCTGCAGGCAGCTCTTCCTCACCCCACTCTGTTCTTCAAGGGGGAAATGGCCACTAACTCTTCAGGTTTCCACCAAGAAGTTACCTTCTCAGAGGTACTCTCTGTGATCCCCAGACCAGCTGAGACTCAAGTACATGTTCTGGACTCACCAGAAGGTTTTTCTTCACAACGCTTTTCTGGATTATAGTTAACCCCTCAGAGCCAAGATTTATCTGAGACCCTGTCTCGGTGACAAGATAAACTCCATGAGAGCAGGGCCCACGTATGTCCTGTTCTCTGTGGAGATCCCAGGGCCCAGCCCAGGACCCGACACATCACAGATGCTCAGTGGCCACTCATCAAATGGATGAGGGAAATCACCCAATGAAATCCTGCAAACCTGTGGGACACTTACCATCAAAAAATGTTTTATATGAACACGAAGGCATTGGTGTGAGCATGGGAGGAAAACCAGGGTCAGGGCTTTACCTTTTGCACAGCCAGTAGGGAGGACCGCAGCCTCCTACCAGTGAGGGATCGGGCCACCCTTAACCCCCCAGCCACAGTCCCCCCCAACCTCACCGGTGTGAGGGGCATCTGGTCTCCCCAGGCCCTGGGGAAGCAGCCTGTGTCCTTCCTCTTCTCACAGACTCTGGATCCCCAACCACAGCTAGAGTTACTGCCAGAGGAGAAAGGAGCCCACACAGGTCTCAGATAAATCAGGGGATGACTCCCCTCCCTGAGGTCCCTGGTCTGTGAAACACATTCCCCTGGTCCCTGAAACCCTCTTACCAGCTCACGGTGTCCTGAAGAAGTAAAACTTCCTGTCAAGGAGGGGACCCGGGCACCCAGCATCTGTGGCTGCTTCTGCCTCAGAGGTGCTGTGGGTCTCATGGGAAGGAACCTCCCCTCCACTCACAGAAAATCCACAGGTTCCCCGGCCTGAGTCTCCACGTGGAGCTGCTCCAGCTCCTGGGCCTGTGGGGATCCCAGAGCTAATGACAGACAGGGATACGGATGATTTTGATGCAGCACCCCAATGTTGTGATGGGGGACACATGGGGCATTTGGGGGATCAACACTTCCATCCAGCACCCTCTCCCAAGAGCCTCAAGAAAGCTTTCACTAGGCCCTTCCTTTGATATGTTGGACACAGAGAGCTTCCCCAGAAACAGCCCATCCTCCTAAGGGGACAGTTCTCCTGACACTGGACTCACAATACTATAGACAACACCTGCCCTCTCAATGGGCTCACCCCACACTGGGGTGCAGTCAGGAGGCCTGGGGCCCACAGTGACAGGGCCCCCAACTTACAAGTCTGTCAGACTGAAGGTCGGAGCCGCCTGTGTCCTGGGCACAAGGTCAGCTCCCATTCTCTGGAGCCTGGTCAGCGTCCCTCATACAGCCCCGACACTGGCTGCGAGTCCCTTCCTGCCCTCCAGGTGGCGACATCGAGACACATAGACAACATACGGAAAACTCACACCTGAACCTGACTTTGGTGAAGGAGGTGCAGAAGGAAACTGATTTATAGCCTTTGCTCAGACAGGCCCCTCAGGGCCCCTCCTTCATGCCCATGCTGTCCCACTGGCTTCTTTAGGGGACTGCAATAAACTTGGCAAGTTCAGTAACCAAAAGTAACCACACTGGGTGGTGTGGTTCCTAACTGGTCAGGTGATGGCAGGGGGGCACGTCCCAGGCCTACAACTTCCTCAGCAAAGTCAGTCTTTACGCTGAATGAGCCCTGTCCTCCATTCTTGTGAACCCTGAATGACCTACCTTGAACACATCAGAGCGACTTTATCTGCAAGACCATTCGAAGGCACAGCCTCCGGGACCAGACTACGAGACCCCAGAGCCCCTCAGGTGCTCTGGTCTCCTGCATGCCCTCTCTACATACTGTGAATGTCAATTATCCCCCCAATGTAAAAAAAAAAGTGTGTCTTTCATCGTTTTGCCTTTTATCCATTTCTAGAGATTTCCCTGCTGTGCTTTCTCTCACCTCCTGATGGACTTCATGCAACTTTTTGTCTTCTCCTTGGCTTCTAATGTACAAAATAAGCTGCAAAACTGTCACTCTTCGCAAGACTTGAGATCCTGCTCCCTGGCATATGTCATCAGTTTGGCTCAAATAAACTCATAAAGATTCTCCCCAGGCTTGGACGTTTCTTGCTGTGACAAGGCCTTGGGGCCTCTGCTCTCTCAGGGGTCCCTGTGCCGCTCCCCACCTTATATGTGGCACAGCCCATGGGCAAGGTGAGACGACCACAGGGGAGTCTCCCAGGCAGAGGTAACAGGCTGCCCCAGCGATCAGAGGGCACAGGGACAGGCCCAACCAACACACACAGTGGAGGAGGGTCTGAAACCGTCCCCCCCAAAACAAAGGAGGCCACAGCCACCTGACCACTTACTACAGTCCTCTCTCCCTGAGACATGCTGGACACCTTCCCCCTCACACGTGGGAACAGCGGGCGGGTCCTTCTGAGACTCCAAGTCTCTGCTCTGCTCTCTGTTCCTGGGAGTAAAGACCAGGCTGGTGGCACCTGAGGTATAAGGAGTGTCTTCTCTGCCGTCATCACCCACCTGACCTTTTCTCACCCCAGACTCCTCTGTGTGACTTTCTTGCCAGGAGAAACGTCCATCTTCTCAGAGCATTAGAGGACAGAGGGTGCCCAGCTGTGTTTCTGGGTTAAGGTTTGGGGGCCCCTGGGATTCTTTGTGTGGCACTGACAGACCCAGGACCACCACACAGCAGAGGCCAACGCTGGGGTGATGTGCACTGGCTCCAGACACGGGTCTCCATCAGCCTTGTTATTGCAGGTGAGTGCCACAGGCTGGCAAGACCAGCTTCCCCTGAGAGCTTGTTGGTTGCAGAGTCTGGTCCACTGCTCCCCTGCAGAGTCAGAATCTGCATTTTTTCCGAGGATCTGGAGACTTGCCCTGTGCGTGGAGAGCGGAAGGGGCTATTCTCCACCCACATCACAGGATCATATTCTGACCTGGTGTCTACAGTAGCTGGGCAGCTGCTGAAGCAGCATTTCTAAGGTGTCAGCTGGGCATTGTGGTCTTTACGGGTTTCACGGGTGATCCGATGCACAGCAGGGGTGGCATCCCTGGGACAAGTCCCCCCCCCCAGGTAGCCCCAGGACTACTGCTGTGAAGGGGAAAGTCAAATGTGAAACAGATAGGCTGTGGGAAAGGCTACTGGGCACCAACAGGGAGCTGTGGGAAATGCCTGGGACCCGGGCCCCCCAGGCTTGTGCTTCTCCAAACAGGGTGTGTGTGTGTGTGTGTGTGTGTGTGTGTGTGTGTGTGTGTGTGTGTGTTTTCAAAGGCTCAGCAGTTCCCAGGGAACTGAAATATAAAGAAACAATAAACTGAAAGAAGGAGACAAAAGTGGCAAAAATGAGGGGAGGGGGAGGGAGAGGGAGGGTCCCGGGCACAGACTCTGCCCCCAGCCCATGTGACCAGGGAGGTGATCTTGCCACAGGAGGAGGCTCAACACACAGGGAGGAGGGACAGCAGCTTCCACCACTCCAGACAGAAGTACCTGTGAGCCTTGCTGCCCCTCAAGCTCTTCTCGTAGAGGGAGGGACAGAGCAGACTGCAGACACCATGGAGTCCCCTTCAGCGCTCACCCGCACAAGGCGCGTCTCCTGGCAGGGGCTCCTGCTGGCCGGTAAGGAGGGGATGACCCCTCGGGGTGGGCGGGAAGATGGGAGACAAAGACCAGCTGGCATCTATTGGAAAACAGCGCTCTGAGGGGACAGAGGGCTTCTGTTTGGACCTGACAGGAGAGGACAGGGAGCAGAGTAGGACAGGGAGGGGGCTCAGCAACAGGGAAATCTCACAATCTGAAAGTGTGAGGGGCAACAACACCTTGATTATTGTTCATTTCTTAAGTTACTCATCACTGGGAATTGAATTTTGAAAAGTGATGATAATAATAACAATTTATGTCAGGCGACACCAGAAAAAATTTAACCAGGGGCTTTAGACGTTGTCTTTATTACCGACCTCAGAAATGGATGAATACACCCCAGGAGGTGCGGGACCCTGGTGGGACCACCCCCTCAACCCCCCACAGGTGTGAACAGCTTGTCGAAGGCACTGGGGGTACAACAAGATCAGACAGGACCCTGCCCCCAGGGAGCTCACATTTTATGTGGAGGAGAAGGACAAGGAAAGATCTAGGTGTGATGTCAGCTACCCACCGGTGCCATGAAAATGCAAAGTGAGGGCAGGTCAGAAGGTGAAGACACAGAATCTTTAGAGAAGGTGGTCAGTGACAGTGTCTTTCAAAGACACCCCCGAGGGCAGTGAGGGGAGAGCCAGGCAGACACCTGAGGAAGAGTGTTTGAAACAAAAAATAACAGGTTCAGAGGTGATTAAGTAATTTTGGCCATGCTGCTGACCTTGACCGTGGGAGACACACACTCACTCACACACACACTCACACACATGCACACACCAAGACTGAGAAGTAAAAATACCTGCTCAGAACCCAGGGCCTCATCTTTCCACCCACTACAGAGATCCAAACACTTATCAACCTCTTTCTCTCTTTCTAGTCTCACTGTTAACCTCCTGGAGCCCGCCCAGCACCGCCCAACTCGCTATTGTGTCAACCTACGCTGCCGAAGGGAAGGATGTGCTTCTGCGCATCCGCAACAAGCCTCACGAAGTGATAGGCTACATGTGGTACAAGGGGGAGGGGGCGAACCCCAATCGCAACATCGCGTCCATCGCGGTGGGCCCAGGATTGTATGCAACAGGGCCTGCACACAGCGGTCGGGAGAAAATCAATAACGACGGATCCCTGCTGTTACGGAGGGTCACCCGGAAGGACGCGGGATACTACACCATAGTCGCCTACCTTCACGACTCAAAAAAGGAAATAGGATTCGGACGGCTTAATGTGTACCGTGAGTGAATTGCTCTCTGACCTTTGAGTGTCGGGTGGGATGGATTCTACTTCACACACAGGACTGAGAGCCCTGGGCTCAGCCTCCATCCCCCTTTGCATCACGTCCCAGGCTGGGGCTGGGCATTTAGCGCAGGATGCACACAGTGGATACGAACTTCCTATGATTTCCGCTCCCTTCCCTAATTCCAGCCCTGCAGACAATCACCACAGACAGAAGGACCAGTCTGATGCGAGTAACTCAGCAGAGAGGGACCAGTCTCAGTCCAGCTCCCTGGGCCCTCCCCATGGCCATGACCCTGAGAAAGGCCCTGCAGGGCTCAGTCAGGGCCTGACCTGAGGAGCCTCCTGGGATCCTCACAGAGAAGCTCAGCCCAGGAGCCCCTCCCCAGACTCCTGTCCCAGGGCTTTTGACTCCAGGAACCTTGGCAAGCTTGGGTCAGGCTGGGTTTGACCTCCTGGGAAGGGATGACTGGGAGCAATGGTTTCCCGGGTGCCCGAGTCACAAAGCTCCTGAGCTGATCACCAAACAGGGCTCAGCCCCAAGGGTCACAGCTGGGCAGGGACAGAGTTGAGCTGTGTTTTCCACCTGACACCGTGTGGGATTAGCATAGCAACACAGGGTCCCCAAATCATTTGCCACCTCTTCTGGGGGACTTAGGAGAGTCCAGAAGAAGGTCAGTGTCCCCAGGGAGAAACCAAGGAGAAAAAATGCCTCTGGCAGCTCCCCATCCACCAGGAACCAGTCCAGGGGATTCTCTGTGGGAGTCGATCAATAACAGGTGCCTCTTATTTGAGTTGCTCTCTATCCTAAGATTTAGGTCTTATACTGTGAATATTTTATGGTTAATACACTGACGACCTGGCAGCCAGATGTTCATCCTCCTCCACTGAGGAGAAACCGGGGCACAGGGAGGTAAAGTCACTAAAGCAGAGTCCCGCAGGCCATGAGCAGCTGGCCACAGTCACTTGAGGTTTGTCTCAGCCATAGTTTTATCCTCTCCTCCACTCCGGGGGTCTTACGTGGTGTGTGTGGACCCCTAGACCAACCACTGGCTCAGATCTTTTCTTCTTAGGTGCCTCGGCCCAGAGGGAGAGATTCTGGTCTGGGGAGTGAAACCAAATGGAGAATCAATCTGATTTTGCTCCAGAACCAAAGTAACAATCAGAGTCAGAGCTGGGAATGCCCAGGCCTCCCCCTCAGGTGGCCGATCCACACCTCCCTGCCCTGGACTGAAATCCCTTCTTTGCTTCCTGATGTGTTGGTGTCACTCCCACTGGATGTGAAGGGAAGGACTTTGCCTCTCACGCCTCACTCCACGCAACCAGCTCAGGGTCTGGCATGAAACAAACACCCATTTGCTTCTGATGAATTAAAAAGAAATAAACAGTGATTGAATGAATGAATGAATGAATGATTTGAAATCTCTTCAGTGACTGGAACCTGGATGCAGAGTGTATGCAGTCCTGGCTCCAGAGCCCCTGCCAGGGGCTGAGCCCCATGTCTCAGACGTTTTGTTGCTTCCTGAGATTGGTCATAGGCCCTGAAATATTTATAATAATTTTCACACGAGAAGATCTTTCCAAATTTCTAGCTCAGAACCACCAAAGAGAACATTTACCAATGTTTTAGCAAGTCTGTGCCCCCTGCTTGCCATCCCTCACCCGCAGCACGGCCCCAGGTCCCAAGCCCACCTCAGTCATTCCCCTCCTCTGTTTCTCCACAGAGCCCGTGAGAAAGCCCACCGTCCTCGCCAGCAACACCACAGTCACAGAGGATAAGGACGCCGTGGTCCTGACCTGCGACACAAACGCCGTCTCCACCCAGTGGTTGTTCAACGGCATGAACCTGCGGCTCTCGGAGAGAAGGAAGCTGTCCTGGCGCAACAGAAGCCTCACCATAGACCCCGTCCGGAGGGAGGACGCTGGGAATTACCAGTGTGAGGTCTCCAACCCCATCAGTTCTGCCGAAAGTGCGCCTCTGGGGCTGCATGTGGAACATGAGTGACCCTTCGCCCCTGCCCTGTGTTATAACACTTTGAATTAATTTTTTGAACTCATCAAATAGATTTGTTGGGAGGGTGGAAAGTACTTAGAAGACTTGCACTGAGTCAATAAATGATCAAAAATGTGATCTGATGTTGTCACTGTTGTTGCTTTGAGGTCACGTGCCACACCAGACCCCACCTCTGTTTGGACTCATTGCACCGTCCCCACAGGGGAGGTGACACTGAATCCCTCACAGGATGGGCAGCGGTCACGAGATGACCAGTGGAGCAACCTCATAAGCTTGCAGGAGCACAAGCTCCTTCCCTCCTGCAGTGGGATCCGTGGAGGGCATCTGGACGCTGCTGTGGACAGCAGAAGTGGGAAGAAGGACACCCATGAAGTAGAAAATCACCCATCTTTTTCTTCCTCTTTGATTTCTTTCAGAAAATTTCTAAAGCCTCTTAAGTATTCTTATTTTCATGGTAATAGACTTATTTGCATAAGCTCAGTAAGACACTGTCCTCCTTGTTAGCAGAATATAATTGGAAACATTGGTAATACAACCAAGGCTTTGACTCAAATGTCCTAGTTCAGGCTGATGCCCACAGAATTAGAAACAACCTCACCCTTTATGGAGCTAAGTTAGACCTGAGGGGTCTTTTGGTCTTTTTGGAGAAGAGACCATCACCCAGAGCTAGAGACTGCAGGCGAGGTGTGAGGGCGAGGCTTCCTCACCTCAAGAGGCTGTTACAACTCTCATCTCAGGTCTCATAGAAGAGCCTGCAGCAGAGCAAACCATATGGTGAATGTCAGCTCCTCTGTACGCAGGTAACCAGTCAGGCCAAATCAGGTGACACCAGCCTGTGGTCAGATCCAGAACACTGTTCTTCCTTGAAGTTGATGTCTGGTCCAAGGGAAAGTGACTGCAGAGAAAAATACAGCATTCTAATGGAGAACTGTGGCAGCACAGCCTTCTGAGAGATCTGGCTCTGTTCAGGGAGCCTCAGCTACTTTGCACCTGTTTATAAATGGCTGGAAACTTGCACCCCTTTGCAAAATGAAGGAACTAATAGAGACGCAGTCTGGGTTTGGGCTGAAAGAGATTGGGTTGTGGTTCTCTCCACTGTGCAGAGGCAGTTTTGTTGTGACCCAAAGCCCCTCTTGTTCCCTCAGAGTCAGGAAACTTTAGACAGGTTCTTCCTGACTACATGCCTCAGTTTTTCCACTTGTTTTAGAACATTTCCTTTAGAAATATAATTGCAATTAGTAATTGCAACTTTTTTCTCTGCCCTGTTGAAATGTACTGGTCGTCTTCTCTGTCTCCAAGGCCTGGGCTCATTCCTCGAAAGTTATTTCTCCTTGTGTCTCTGTGTCCCAGTCTCTGAGGGAGGGCAGGACCCTAACCTGGGTGGGAACTTTACAGCCAAGATGTAAAATGACCTCTGGTCACAATTTCATAAGAAGCTTGACTTTGCTTTTGTGTAAAGCCCATTAGCAAACACAGATGCCTCTGATTCCTCCAGCTGTCCTTCACATCTCCCCAGCCTCCTGTTCCAGGGGTGTCGAGTTCAGTCTCCCTGCCCTGCTGCGTGGTCTTTTAATCGTCTTTCCTGCCTCTGCAATTTGTGCGATGTGTTTTACTTTGACGTAACCTATCTGTAGTTGGCCGATCCTGTTATCTTCTCACACTGTCAATTCTTACCCCATTTTCAAATCTTCCAATTTCTTTTTTTATCTGACAAAAGTCCTCCAAGTATATGTTTTCACTTGTCCTATCTCTCTTCTGACTCAGTGTCCAGTGCAGGAGATGACCTGACTGCCCAAGTCCTCTTGGGGCCACTGATGCCCCGGACGGGCCTTTGCCCTAAAATGGGGGAAGACGTGCCAGCCTGAAACCTTGCACCTTGGCAGTGGCCTAACCATCAACAGCGTTCTCACTCCACATCCCTTCTCACTCGCCCTCAAAAGAGCAAGGTCATGGAGCTCTAGAAGATACTCTGTCATGAAACTCAACTTCTCTAGTGCGCATGTGGGTCCCTGTCACATCAGCCACCTGCAGGTCTGCCCTCAGTGACCTGTTTGGGGCCCTCTGTGACCTGGAACCAAGCCTAGACATCCTTGTCCTGATTCTTTGTTTTCTTTTTTTGTTTTGTTCTGTTTGGGGGTTTGAGGGGATTTTTTGTTTGTTTTTATTATTATTATTATTTTTTTTACAAATTCCACATGCCTATCCCTAGAGGGTCCACAACCAGAGCCTGGGAAATGGGAAAGAAATCTCTCCTCTGGTTCTGTTTTCTTTCCGGCTCCTTATTGTCTTTGGGGCGTGTGACTGAAATCCTTAGAGATGTGCCAGATGTGAATTGTGGGTAAGCAGACGTGGGCATAGAGGGAAGTCCTGGAGGAATGGGGTCTTCTGAGAGTCAAAATGACAAATTGTAAATCCTGGAGGGGGGGTTGTGGGTTTTAGGCATTATAAGGGTTCAAAGGGATTTAGGGGGGCCATGCAGAAGGGCTCCTTTGGGGTACTCACTATGGGACTGAGGAATATGAGTGAGGGGCTGACCTACCTGTTGAGGAAGGAGCCACTAAAGCTGATACGGTAAAATAGGGGCACCATTTTCCCAGACTTAAAAGGGCATGAGGGGTAAGACACAGGGTTGGGGAAAGAGTAATGTCCTTGAAGACTCGGGTTAGTGCCCTGATGTTGGGAAAAGAAGGAGCAGTAGGTGTCTGGCCCAAAGCGTTATGGAACAGGGGACAAGAAATAGGAAACATGGGCGGGAGGGAGATGACCCTCTCATGGGGAACAAAGAGTCTGAAGAGCAATTAGGGATTGTAAAATTGGGGACACCGAAAACCCCAAAGATGAGACAAGAAATTCTGAAAATTTGAGTTAGGAAAGGAGTAGGAGTGCAGGGTAGTCAGTCAAAAAAAGAGGGGGTTGTGATAAAGCCTGGGGAGGGGGAAGAATGCATGCAAGGCAGGCTCAGCTGTGAGACCAGACTGACAGCCAGAGGTGTCCAGTCTCCGGTCCTACCTTGGTAGAGACATGTGCAGCCAGCGCTCAAAGCATTGTCCCCGGGCAGCAGTTTCCACAGGGCCTGGGAGAGCTGTTCAAAGCCAGGCCTCCTTTCATACCCCAAGACATGCCTCAGCTGAGTCCACAAGTTAGTCATGTCCCTGGGGACTTGGGTGTCAGTGAGTAAGGCTGACGAGGAGCCTGAAAAGAGGCAAGTGAGTGGTTGACGTTGTATGTGTGGGAGGGGGACTGAGGGCCAGTACAGACTTGGAGTAAGAAGAGACTTCTCCTTTTTTGGTGATAAGTCAGAGTGAGCTTTCTGTGTTTCCACAGGTGGGAGCTGTGTGACACATCACAGTGCTGGAGGGGTAGGTCGTAATGGTCTCAACCACCTGTCCTTGTCTAGTCCAGGATATATCTCTCCCATCTGTGGTGGATGCTGCCCTCCCCACCTGACTTTGTGTTGGTGGGTATGACAGCACCCAGGTCATAGTGAGGAGGTCTGGCCACCTGGTCACATTAGACAGAGCCCATGTTCAGGCTGTTTCTCTTAAGGCCTGGAAGCCATCAGGAGCTACTATTCTGTCGCTGTAGAAGGCACGGCCTTGCTGCAAACCCTAGGAGTCTGCATGTGATTCTCTTATTAGGTCTCACCAGAGGCTCACAAACACCTCTTATCCTTCTAACATAGATTAGATGGAGGTAAAAGTACATCAACTTGTTCTTCACTCTGGGGGGTATGTCCACAGTGGCCCAGACTATTGGAGCCACAGAAGCCTCATAGAGGTGGCAGACCCCTGAATGGTCCCAGATGAGGGTGTCCCTACAGCTCATGCTTTGCTGAAATTGCTATCACTAGAACTGATTTAATCGCTGGTGTCACTGTCCTCACTGATGTCATGCCTGAGAGCATCCACCGGAGCAGACATCACTTCTGTCTTTCAGAGCACAGGTGTCTTAGTAAGGCACTGAGAAAACTTACCATTTTGATTATCTTTAGCAAACAAGCCTCTAGTTCTCAGTGTTAAAATGACATTCACTGTAGGTCTCATGTTGGTGATGACCAGAGTTGGTGTAAAATTGACTTGGAGGACAAACACATCCATTCACCCTGCTGGGGAGGGCTGGTTTCACGGGCTCACAATCTGCACAGTCACTTAGAAGGGCCTGTGCTAGGCTTAGTACTCTGCTTTCATCATTTTGAAATTCTTAATAACTTGTTTAAGGCAAGAATGTCCACTCTTACCATTCTGTTTAAACATTTATTTGATTTTTAGAAGGGGAAGGAAGGGAGAGAGACATCAGTGTGTGGTTGCCTCTTGAGCGCCCCCTACCAGGGGCCTGGTCCACAACCCAGGCATGTGCCCTAGACTGGGAACTGAACTGGCGACTCTTTGATTCGCAGGCCAGCACTCAACCACTGGGCCACACCAGCCAGGGTGAAATTCTTAATAGCGTTTGAACAAAGAGCCCTGCATTATCCCTTCACAATGACTTTTCCTGGTTCTGCCCCTAGGAGTGACTCTGGGACAAAAAAAATGGTTTGATCCTATTGAAGGTGCAATCTGTACTGTGACCACCAGAGGGCTGTATTGTGGCAACTAACCTGAAGGACCTATGAAGGCATGTGGAGAAATTTTTTGTTTTTCCTACCTTTTTTTTTTTCATTACAAGTGTCTAATGAGCAGGACCATTCCCCAACCCTCCCACACACCACTACTTCTGTAGCTCACAGAAGGATGGTTCCCCCTCTCTGATGTACTGCAGAGATTCAAATGTAAAGAAACCACAGTCACTTGGCTCAAATGTAAATGGCATTAAAAAAACACAATAAAGTCTACACTAAATATTGGTCTTTTAAAAAATGCTGAAGAGACAAGGTGGAGGGAAGGAGAGGGAGGAGGAGAGAGACAGAGTTGGTAATGAGGAAGAAAGCTGAATTATCTTATTCCAAAAGGAAAAACTTTGGATTAGATAATGCCTAAAAATGAAAAACCACTAAGGAGCCTCAAAGCATGTTATATAGAGATAGCTTTGGTTGTATCCAGGGAAGCTGTCATTTTGAAGACAGATATCCTTGACGTGGCACAGAGAGAGAAGCCAGAACCTTCCTGTGATCTCTCTGAAACAGCACACACACAGACACAGGGCACTGAGTGTCGACTCAAAGGCAAGAAAGAACATCCAACAGAAGGGAGCCAGTACCTGGCTGCACTCACAGTGTGACTCTCAGACACGGGGTGACGATGTTTTGTTCCAGGCACAGTGGGAGTTAAAATCCTCTTGGGCTTATAGGTGGTCACAGCAAAACAACAGGCCCCCTCCAGGCCTTATCCACTCACCAAAATTCATCCGAGAAGCCCAAAGTTTTTGGCTTTTTGTTCAGGTAACATATGATGAGCACTGACATGTTTCCTGTGTTTGTGTTGTGTTGTTTCTGATGCCAGAAGCATAGAATCAAAAGCTTATATTCCTCTGGTTATGAACCAGTCCATAAATAGCCTGCCTTCATTTTGTAGAAAAGCATTACTCATATAAATTAAGTTTCAGCTTCCAGAACGAATAACATAGGCAGGGCTGGAGATTTCCCTCACTAAAGACAGCACTGCTGCTTCCCGGATGAAAACCCTGGGAAATGGACAGGCTGCCCTGCACTCAGGCCACGGCCCCTCTGCAGCCTCTGCAGCAGCAGTCCAGGACGCTCCAGCTGCACTGCCCTGAGTGCCAAGGGACGCACAACCCACATTTACACAACCACTTCTTCTTCCAGAACTCACACGTTGGAATCGTTGTCAGAGATTCTAGGAATTGCCATGTTTAGCTCTTCAGTTTTCCATGTAATTTCCAAGGGGTTTTGAGGAAAATTGATTTAGCCAATCTGGAGTGTCTTTCCTCTATGTCCCTGGGGCACTTCTGATGCAACCTGTGCACAACCAAGACTTTTTTTCACTCTACCTCCCAACCTGATCCTCTGAGTCTTCCTCTTCTCAGTAAGGCTCAACCCCATTCTTCCAGGTGCTCAGGTATGGAATCCTGACATTATCCTGAAGCCTCTCTTGCTCCCACACTAAACTCTAATCCATGAGCACACCTGCAGCCAGTCTGCAAAGTATAGAGAGAAATGATAGTCTCAGGTCCAAGCCAACATCTGTCCTACAAGAGGGTCATCTTAACAGTCTCCTAACTGGTCTTCTTGCTGCCTTCTTGATCTTAGGTCAGTCTCCTCACAGTGCGGCTGTAACAGTGGGAAGGTGGAAACCACCCACCATTCTTCTTGAGCTTATGTATGTAAATGCTGACTCTGACTAATATATAGCTTATAGATGAACAGCATGTTTGTGTAAGAATGCTAGGAACTAACTTCAGAAGACACAGACTCTGACCTTCAGGCATCCCAGCTCCAGCAGGTGTGCTTACCTGAACCGTGGAGCCAGGATGACATGAAGCAGAATGAGTAGACCAAGAAGACACACAGGGCACCGTCACTTTTCTCATCAGAATGGACTGCATGCATCTGCACCTAGAGAACTTTTCAACCCCCTCCCCTGATCTCTTTGTGCTGTTCCCCTCTCCCTCCTTATAGAAACCTCTGCCTGCACCGAGACCTGGAGATGGGCTTTGGGACATGCACCCCCCATCTCCCAGGTGGCCAGCACCTGAAAGAGATGCCTTTCCTCTCCATCAGCACCTGCCTTCTGTATATTGGTTTTCGTAGCAGCAAGCAGCTGGTCCTGCTTTTGTTTACAGGATGTCTGAATCCTCAGAGATGAATTCTTCTAACTCCCAAGTCAGATCGTTCTTTTCTTCTGAAAGCCTGCCTTTCGCTCTACCTCAATCACACAGACATCCCAAGTCTTCAGCACAGCCGCCAGGGTCCCAGGTTAGTGCTGCTCACAGTGCTGGTCGGCACAAGACAGGAGTTTCCACCAGAAGGTGAAGCAGGCAGTGCTTTGGTTCAGAAAGTTTTGCAATGCAGAACGTGTCAGCTGGAATGAACAGGACGCTTGGTGGTGTGGTCGGTGTACTTTCTGTGCCAGGCTCTTTAGCTCCTAGAAGATGGCCCTTTGAGAGCACTGCCCTAAAAATTCTGGTGCCTGTCTGCACTCCTCATGTCATTCTTCCCATTTCGTTTATTCTGATCTTCGAACCTGGCAAACGTCCTCCTGCCCCAGAGTCCTTGCATTGGCTGTTCCCTCTCCCTAGAATAATCTTTCTTCAGAGACCTACCCAGTCCCTTCTTCCCTGTTCTAGGTCTCACTTAAATGTCACAGAGTCATGCAGGATTTCCCTGACCATCTTATGTAATAAAGTGACTCCCCAACCCAAACTCTTTCTATTCCCTTTACTCCACTCTATTGCCATTTGGAGGACTTATCACCATCTGAAATGCAGCTTGTTTATTTCTTGGTTGCCTCTCTCCCTTCAATAGAATTTCAGCTCCATAAAATGGAGACTGTCAGGTTCACCTTTGTGGCCCTACCACTGCTGTAAGCCTGTGCAGAACGTGAGCTCACTGTTCCAAAAGGGAATTAACTCACCAGTGAATAATTACATGTCAGGAAGTAAGCACAGCCTCCACAGTGTCACTGCCTGTAAAACGTGAGCAATTCCAGCACCACCAGCATGTGGGAATCACGTCAGGATGGGCCTCCTTCCTGATGTCCATTGCTACATAAATAAAAGACCCAGAAACTTAAAATTGCTGCATGTCTGATAAGATCTGGGGCCTGAAAATGACAAACTCCAATCACAATGATAAGTGGTCAGTTTTTGCACAAGTACCTGAAGACACAAAATTTGGGGTGAAGTTCTCTGTAAAAGGGGTAATGGGGTCACTTGGAAGGGTCCACTGTCTTGGCTCCTCAAGCCTCTCTCCACTCCATCCCTGGAATGACCCTGAGGGATCCACTCTGTTCTCACGCTGTGTTCCAGGGAGAAAGCAGGCTTGTGCTGGGGTGGTCACTTCACACGGTGCAAGACAGAGAGGGGCTGTTCGGTCGTCCTCTGCACTCACGTCCACACACTACGTGGATTAGTCACGTGGATCAGTGTCACTTCTTCCTACTGAACAGCGTGGCTCTGAGATGCATCCAAGTTGGTATGTGTGGTCTTC